TCTCTGGCCTCCCCCCCCCCCCCCAAATAAGATTTTTCTTTCTTTCTCCCCCACTCTTTTCTTTTCCCTTCTCCTCCTCCTTGATTCCCCCTCCCCTCCCCTCGCTCACTATCTCTTAATCATCTCCTTTGTTGACCCGTTTTTTACATCTAAACTCCTTAACTCTTCCTCCCCAAACCAACAGCTAGCCCCCCAGGAGGAACACACCGCACCCCACTCATGAGGCACTACAATGTGAAGCCTATTGTCTGCAAACAACAATTGGCAGAACTATATGAAGGAACCTAAGGCCAGATTACCCTCAAATCGTGACCAATAAAGTCGACATGAAGACAGAGACGACGATCTCAATCGTTCCACCGGAAAGATGGGAGCAATAAAGAATACCGTCCACTTTGTTTTTGCATCCAATACCAGGCGAGACCACGAGAAGAACCCCCAAAACCACCGCGACTTCGAAATTAAAATAGATCTCCTCGAATTTGATGGTGGTATAGATCCAGATGAATTCCTTGACTAGCTGCGCGTGGTCGAGCGAACTTTTGAATACAATGAGATACCTGAAGATAAGCAGGTAAAGCTAGCAGCAATTAACTGAAAAAAGCACGCCTCATTATGGTGGGACAAACTGCACGTCAACGAACGAGGAATGGCAGCGACAAAATCACAAAGTGGGACAAAATGAAGAAAGCATTGTTGCGGAAATACCTGCCACAACACTACCCCGAAGATATGTTCATGAAGCTCCATAACCTACAGTAAAGAGAGTTGTAGAGGAATTCACAGCCAAATCCGATCGGTTAAAAATAAAGTATGACTTGGTCGAACAAGAGGAGCATACCATTATCCGCTACCTCGGAGGCCTGAAACCCGCAATTAACAATGCAGTTCAACAACAACCCTATTTTTCGCTAAGTGATGTCCAAACCTTAGCCCTGAAATTTGAAAGGCAACAAAGCAGGTCAGATCACAGTTTTCCTTCCGGCAGCAATCCTCATACAAGCCAACCCAGCAACTACACCGACTGACCAAGGCACGTCAGGAACAAAAACTAATCTAAGCAACAACAAACCCAAAAAAGGTAGCTCTTCGGGGCCAATGCCAGCCAAAAATGTTTAAGATTTCATGGTTTCGAGCACATCGCCTCTAGCTGTCCCACAAGCCAAATTGTCTCTTTTACAAACCAAGGTGTCATGAAGGAAAGCGAGGAAGAGGAACCAGAAGAAGACACAGATGAAGCACTTCAGCTCCAGATAATGAAGGTGATTTAGTAGTCATACGACAAGACTTACAATCAGAATCAGCACGAGATCAGCCATGGCTACAACAACATCTTCCGCATAAAGTGTACAGTTAAAAGTAATGTTTGCAGCTTGATAATCGACAATGGCAATTGTGAAAATGTTGTATCAACCCTGATGGTGGCAAAGATAGAATAACCACGAAAAAACATCCCTAACCCTTTTCCCTCACCTAGCTTAAAAAAGGGAATGAAATTCACGTGGATCAACAATGCCTTGTTGAGTTCTCGACAGGCAACCAATTAAAGGAACAATTATGGTGTGATGTCATTCCCATGGATGTATGTCATGTTTTACTGGGACAACTTCAGAAATATGGCTGCAAAGCTCAACATGTGGGATTTAAAAACACATACTTGTTCAAGAAAGATGGCAAACACATTATATTACTACCAAGTAAAGACGCACGAGGAATCAATGGCACCAAGGGAGACAGTTATTCCAAGGGCCACATTCATGCAGTCAGTTCAAGATGCACCAATAACACTATCCCTAATTCCACTCGAGGGATACAAAGAAGAAAACTTCATATTTGAACACCACTTCTACAAAACTTCCAGGACATCATGACTGACAGTCTGCCAGAGGGACTACCACCACTGCAGGTCAACCAACATGCTATAGACCTTGTTCCAGGACATCATGATAGACAATCGCTATACACCTTGTTTCAGGACATCATGACCGACAGTCTGCCAGAGGGACTACCACCACTGCAGGTCATCCAACATGCTATATACCTTGTATCGGGATCCATCCTACCAAATTGACCTGCGTACAGGCTAAGACCAACAGAATACGAGGAACTACAACGGAAAATGCAAGACCTCATCACCAGAGGGCTAGTTAAAGAAAGTACAAGTTCGTCTTGCCCGCCCTAATGGTACCCAAGA